CAGCTTCAAATGACGTTCAGTTCAAAGAGATAGTCCGATAATTTTGAACAGGACTACATCTATAGAACTTACTCTGAACAGACTGAAGTTTAATACTTATATTGGTTGTATTTATTGATTTAATAAAAATAATTGATATTTAAATTTTCCATTCAATCTATGAATTCGAGATAAATTTTCAATACAATTAACAGCCAGCAGCCAGAATCGGTCTTCTATATCTAACATTATGATTATGACGTCACAAAATAATGACGTCATTGTCATCACTACATAGTTCTAGTCTCATAACTCACATCACACTTGGGAAGATTTTGATACAGTGGCAATGCAGAGCACATGTACATATATAACGTTACTTGTGCGGCGTTATTCAGCATTTTACGAAGCCATTCAGCTGTTAATAAACAGCAGACAATAATACGGTTTTTGTTCGATACACATAGTTTAAAATTTCTGTGTATTTTCTTAGTTTCTATATAAGCAAAGCACAGCAGGTACATTTAAACAGGATAGTGCATTAAACCAATAAAGCTAATATTGTTGGAAAATGAGTTCATTGTTATGTCATTTGTGTCTAAACATGCAAGGCGTACCGAGGATTATGTTTTCAGTGTACAAGAGAAACCTAATGCCTCTACTTAAACATCAGTCGGGTTTTGTCAGGTAAAGATTACAGGGTCGTTCTCTTACCAGCATTTCCTTCATGGTGATGTTAGCGAATCCATTGCGATCGATGAATTTAAAAACAGATTTGAGCCCTTCCCAGTTGTTGATAACCTGTAATACAAAAAGCTCAGTCTTAACAATAGATAAACGGGCATAATCGATGTTGTTCATGGTAATCCAAACTGTATTCACACTTTCCAATTTGAATAGGTGACCTTTAATTTTCATATCGAATGCACCTTTTACATAATGCGATCTAAATTTATTTTAAAAGACGGGTGATATTAATTTGAAAAGAAAGATATAAGAATAAGACATTTCAGTAATCGATTATATATATATATGATTTTTTTTTGCTGTTATGTGAAAATCTATTTTAAATTTCAGACTGTTTACAGATTACTGTACACGTTGATAGTACATGCATTACTACAGTCATGCAAAAACATTATGTATTTTATGTTAACATACAGCTTTAATGTCATTTTTTTTCTTCTCTCTAAAGCGGCGCTTAATAAACCTTGACTCATCGATGTGATGGCAGATTATTCTTCCACCTCTAAGTTCCATGCAAGACCATGGTGACCTGTTTGAAACACTTGTAATCTCTCCCACAGAGACGCACCCGGTGACTTGCATTTCGGAACATAGTTTTATCAATCATAACTAAGAAGTGCATAACCATATCCATTGTGTTTAAAATGGTCTTTCTTACGTTTACCAATGACATATCAATTTTGATTATCACACTTTTCCCCACTCTGGTGTTTTCAATAAATTAGTACGTACCAAAGTTTGCAATAGAATTTTACCAAACCCGATATTCTGGGTTAAATATGGGAGATATGGCAAGTCTGTTTTCTGACCAAAAGTTTACAATCGTACGTCAGATTTCAATAACCCCAAACTCACATATGTTAAGCCATACTTAATAATAAGTTTATATATATATAAATAAACAATATCGGTTTCAGACCATTTTTATATGTACACACCACAGCCAGCCACATCGATTCAAAACGCCAGCATACATTAAGCTGGCTATTGAAATGATAATGAGGAGAATTCCAGCACACCATAGTTGCCCAGCAATAACACTAGTCGAATCGAGCGTATGGATTGACCTGGACACATGCATGTTATAACACTTCCTTTCTGATCTGATGTAAAATTTAATTATAAGAAGTACTTAAACTACATCCCAGATACTATATAAAAATATGTTGAAGCATAAACAATAAAATATTAACTGATAAACTTACGTTTTCTTTGACCTTTACCAGAAGCTCCTTAGTGCGGACACTTTTCGTGGACATGATGGACGCTGGGGCTGATGGTGGTGGAGGCGGGAAGCTGGCGGCAGACGCTGTTCGTGATGGGGGACCTCGAGACTGAGGTGGTTTGGCTACCTCCTGTTGTTTCGCTTTCCTCTTCTCTCGACGTTCTCTCTGCACTCTTTTCGCCTCCTCTATCAATTCCTTAGTATTGTCACCTGTTATTAAGAATCGAAGTCACAACATTGATAAAACACATTATATATGCATTACCGGAATCATAATCCGCTAATAAATTTATACACCGTTCTCCTGTTCAAATCAGTAACATAGTCCAAATGTTCAAGTATTAATGTCCAAACCTAGCTATTAGTTTCCCTGGTAAGGCGAGAGGCAGCCTGTTGGCAATATACTTACTTACTAAACTGCAATAAATTGTCGCCAAATTCACTGCTCCATATATCACTGCTATCGAGCCCCCCGTATGCTAGCCTGAGATTAATGTGTGTGAGTCGAACAGAGGTTGTATTGATATTTGGGATTACTTGGTAACGTCAATACGGGGACCGTTATACGGCTGTCAACTCGCCCGTTTATATATACATTCTCTGTTTACATTTCACCTTGTCGGGTTTAAGAATTCTTTCGTGTTTCTTTTCAATACTGATGACGATTTTCAAATCATTTAGTATGCGTGGTTTAATACTTTTAAATATCGATCATTCATTCGAGTAATTTTTCTTATTTGCGTTAGCAATAATTGCATGTTATTATACATTGACTTGAGAAGTAAACTATGTTCCCAGTATACTTCTATTTAGAAGATAAATGCTTTTTAAAATGGAACCTTGGTCATTCTTATATTGAATAAAGACATACAATAGAGACCTGATAATAATAAACAGGTGGATAGCCAAGTATATTTCATAAAGGTGTGAGTATCTAAACACAGGTATTTATGTCTACTGTTACATTACAACTGTGTGTCTACCTAAGTGACATAACATCTTGAACATGCATACAGATAATTAGATTTGCATGAGGTATTTGTGATTGTGCTTGCAGTATTTCAACT